TTAGTTCATCAACTAAAACTCCACCCATAACAGCGTCGCCGTCATTGCATGTCAGTCCATTATCATCAGTATTAAGCATGTCTAGAGAACTATCAGCTAAAGACTTTAGTTCATCAACTAAAACTCCACCCATAACAGCTTCGCCTTCATTGCATGCCAGTCCATTATCATCAGTATTAAGCATGTCTAGAGAACTATCAGCTAAAGACTTTAGTTCATCAACTAAAACTCCACCCATAACAGCTTCGCATGTATCGTATGTCAGCTCGCTGCCAGCATTTCCTAGTTTTGTTGCTGGATGCTCGAGTAAGCCATCTCAACCAATGTCACAAACAGAGCAAATCCAGCCTTCAAGCCGAAAACTTCTTGCCTTGACAACAGCAACAGTTGCCATGACAACATCAAGTTTAACATACCCAACACTGGATCGTTCATTTTCTACAAATCCGTTCTGGCTGAAAGTAGGTGAGTCATTTTAGTTACATGTATGTTTTCACTTCAGGCATACTCCAAAGAATATTCGCAAATTTTTGTATCTGTGATGAGGATACTGCAATGAGAAAGCCATAAAGCTTCAACTGAGTGGCACACGTAAATTCAAAAGAAGATAATGAAATCAGCTATCACTTCTGAAAAACAAAGAAATGTTTAAGCAATTGTGAGCAAATATTTAGTTATTGATAGTTAAGTAAATTTGATCATTAATGCTAAGCTCTTGCTCTGATGCAGTTTCTGTCTTACATTTGGGCTGATGTAACTTGAAATACATGCACAATGTACTTATATTTGTAGGCCAAGAGAGTTATTTGCTCACTGGTAATTGCAGATGTTTCCATTCAAGAGGACATTGATGTCAAACAAAGAGATTTCATTGTTGCCATGGAGACCAGCCTTGCCGCTGCCTACTCAGAAGGAAAAGCTCTAAAAGATGCACGTGCTACCGTGGTTCAAGATCTGCTGGAGCAACTCAATCCTGACAATGACCCTTTGCTGAATGTACGAAGAAAAAGGGCTGTTACTGTTGATGGCAACACAGCACAGGTACAGACAGACAGCCTGACTGACAGATAGTCTCTTTGTATATTAATCAATAAACAGAAAAGTCAACCCATGGACTGTACACCAGACACCAGTGTTTTCCTTGAAAGACACAATCCAACAAATGAATGAAAACATTAGAGAGCCTGATGTTTTGATTGTAGCATAATTTTTTTCAGTCAAAGACAAAATGAGAAATGGTCATGTTGCCTTGAACAAAACTTGCCTTTGGGAATGATTTTGGTAGGATCAAATATCAGACCTTTGAACTTGTTGATGTGTGTATCAGTCTGCAAGCAGTTTGCAGAAGTTTTTGTATTTTACATTGCTAGAAGAAAGAAGAAATTGGTTGCACTACTGTCTTATGAATATTCATATTGCCTTCTGTAGGTGATTGATGTGTCACGTGATGTCAGCTACCCAGAAAGTGCTGTTTTGGTGTTCTATATAGCAGAGGGTGATACCAGTATACCTGCAGGGGAGTCCAAGGCAATATTCAGTGAACTGACCCTCCAGGAGTTGACATTTTATCTTCAAGTAGTGGTCCAATCCTTTCCAACTGGTAGGTATTGTTTCATGTTATCTTGACTCTTGGCTTTTATTGAAGGAAACTGTATTTTTGCAAAAGATTAGCATACCGGTACGTGTACATTGCACATAGTGCAATGAACATTTTTGTGCTATAGAGTCACTTTTCTCTAGTTGTCAATTAATTGAATTCTCTCTCAATTGCAGAGTTTATTGAAGCAGTTGTCATAACAACGAGTCCGCCTCCTGATTTGACCCCTCTCTGGATTGTGTTGGGTGTCTTTGGTGGTCTTGCTTTGATGTTTTGTGGATGCTGCTGTTGTTTCTTTGTCTGTCGTATCTGTTGTCGTCCTCGACCGAAATCGGCCCGTGATGGACCAATGGATATGGATACTTTGAAGATGCTGCAACATAAGCAGAAGGTGGGTGGAGTTAGAGTGGATATCTGGGGAGGAATAAGGAAACTGAGTAACCTTCCTTGTCTGGAAAAATGGTGGAAATTGAGTGTCTCTTGTTTACCCGTAGATTGATTCCGATCCCACAAACAACCCAAGTATTGTAAAACATTAGCAATGATTTCTTTTTAAATTATTCATTGAGGTTAGGAAATATTTGCTAAACTTAATTATGTCACAGCAGAGTGATGCCTTTGCTGGAGTTTTATTGACTTTTGTTTAATATCTTATGAAAAATAAAATTCTTCTGAACAGTACCCCTACAGACCCTACAAAAGTCCTAACCAGACACCACGAGGATTTGACATTGCCAAGGAGACGGATGGTACTGTGGATGCAGTGATTGCTAAGGAAACCAGCAGTGCCGGTTCCAAAGTCAGACTACAGAGTAGTGGAACTGGATCGATCCTCAAGAAGCAGTTGACTGCAGTTAACGCTGCAAGGTATGAAGATAGCTTTAGTTGTTGGATGGTCTTCGCTGTTACTGCTTGGATTCTAGTTCATCAAGGATTGACAGATTAGATTAGACTGTTACCATGACAGCAAAAATAAACAATTGTCTCATTCAAAGACAGCAAAGCATGTATTTTTTGCACAAAATTTACTTTTGTCTGTGTACTATACAGTACCCCCGAAAAAGTTTCTTCATTTTGCTTTTTCTCTCCCAGGCTGGATGCGGATGCATACTCTTCATCTTCTTCCTCTGACCTCAGTCTTCATGGTAATGACCTTGCAGTGCCCCCTCTAGAGTTGAACTCCCTCAAGGAAGGGGCAGCCAAGAAGACCCTTGCAGTGAATGGGGAAGATGCTTTCCATAAAGCTGCATCATCGCTAGATTTGAATTCAAGTGAGAGAAGTCACCGATCAAGTGGGAGGAACCAGCCAAGATTGCTGCCTCTGAGATCACAAATAGTAAGCAATGATTTCAGAAACATAACCACCACGTGATAAAACAGCAGATAATGACAGTGATGCATCTTTCTAAAGCTTATAACATCCATTGTAATATTGAAGGACTCTAAGCATTTATCATCATCATTGAAGCTGACTTGGCTCATTATTAAAGCATTGGTGTCATTACTTGATGGGAGTGCTAAGCTTAAAGCTACCAGACATGAAGAATTTATTGAAATTTAAAGAATCTCACCCCTCCTCGGTAGTCATGGACTCCTTTCAAAAAGACCGACAGGCTGGTGAGGTTTCCAACCAGTGTCCTGCACGCATTCAGGAAGACCATATGTTCCAGAATGAATTTGTTGCACATGCTCAGCATGTACCAAATACGTAAACTTGTATGCCTACATGGTGAATTCCTACCACAGGACCGACATTTTCATTGAAAAACATGCCCTCTTTTATTTCCACTTGAAGCCGATAGGGGCAATAAGAAACTAAGACTGTATTGGAATGTGTCAAACAGAGCTAGGATTAGGTCTTTGCTCTGTTATCTACAGCTAGATTTAGGTCTGTGGTCCATTGTAGATACAAGGAGACATGCTGACAAGAAACTTAACAACAGCTCTGAAAGCCAGACACAGCTTACATACATCTCAGCCGAATTCCTACAGGCTGTACCCAAACCCTGAGTTTGCAAAATCACCTCATAAGCTTGTAATTTGACAGAACAGACTACACAGCACATACATGTAGGTTCATGGACAGCCTTTATATCAAGGCAGCTACATGTTGCTTGCACTTTTCAGGCAGTGGGTTTTTTTAGTTCATCTTTTCTGTTTTTGTGGTTCATACTTTAGACACAATCAGCCGGTTGCTGTGCAGCTGAAATAAAACAAGAGTTCTCTTTTGAACTGTTTTGTGTTTTTAATTTCTCCTATCAACCAGGGCCATAATGGGGATGAGTGGAATTTGAAGTCAGGTCATAGGTCAGGAAGGTCATCTAGAAGAGACTCACCTCATTCACTCTCTACATCTCGTGAGCATAAAAATACCATAGTGCTACTCAACTCACACCATGACCCCCTATGTTTCCATCATGTCCCCTGTCACTATCCTCTGTCCACCCTCCTCTAGTGCCCCTTATTGTTGTAGTCATGAGATGTCAAGATGACCTAATTAAGATAGAGTGGAACTTTACAAATCACCTTGTCATGACATTTACCTGGTAATACCAGTAATAGAAAACAAAGAAAGACAAAGACTTGGGACCTAAAAATGTCCTTGTTATAAATATGGCATATTAGCAATGTTCTTCTTATCTGTGTTGGACTGTTGACCTCAAATGCAGTCTTCAACACTCCTCCCCCTTTTAAGCTGTCTTTCCCCTCCCCCATCTTGTTCTTTTTCCTCAATCCATAGATGTTCATTTGCCTGGAGCAGAAGCGCCCCCGTCATCGATTGGAAAGATACATGTTGTTGGAGCGTGTTCATTATTTTGGTAGTAATGCCATCATAATGCTTGCATTTCCTAGTTGTTTGTGAATTAGCCAAGTTCATTTCCAACCAAAGGATCCACCAGGCCCATTGGAAGTTTGTTTTAAACCATTGAACAAAATGGGCAAGTTTTCAGTTTTTAGAATTAGTAGAAGCTGTCTCGTACCAGTTGTTCCTGAAGATTTCAATGTTGTTTCAGGTGAGGCAGAGGAACTAAGGCGCATCTACCGTGAAGCTCAGCGAGAGATTTCACGAGTCTTGGAACCAGACATAATACCTGACCAATCAGATCGGACGTATGTTGCTCCCGAAAGGCGCTCAAAGTAAGTCTTTGACAATTGCACCTGTCTCTTTTGTAGACATTAGTCGAGCATCTTGTCACCTGCTTCAATTTCATTTTGTAGAATTTGGGAAACTTTTAGAATTAAGGAAAACAAATAAATATTTTGGAGGGAAGGGAAATACGGTTTCATGTATCTCCCGTCCCTCCAAAAAATTGTTAAACTGCTTGGTTCCCATTTCCTCTTTCTGTTGACTTTTTGTTCTGAGAAGATCACAAGGCAAGTCCAGTAAACGAAGAAACAAGATGCAAGAAAGTGATTTTGGAGGGAGGACATCTGACCCAATATTACCTGATACTCACTATGCAAGGAAAGCTAGCAAGAGACAGGTGAGTGATCTGTAGCAGTAAGTGATTGTAGATGGACACAGGTTTAGAATTTGGTTCAGTTAGAAGTTGATTTTAATTGAACCTTAGCAAAAAGAAAGAAGAAAAGTGATGAACTGGATACAGACATTTCTAACTGAGGCCAAACCTTTCTTTATGAAAATCAATAAAATGGCATTTATTTCACTTTGATGTGGTATCCGTTATCCAAATACTCTCTGGCTGGAACCTGAAAATTGTCTCCCTCTGTTTATAATACTATTTGAAGCGTAACCTTTGTTAGTGTGGCCGTAGGCTCTTTCCATGTTGGAATACCAGATTAAATGGATTTAAGTTACTGCTAAGCTTATTCTGCTTCTTGTTTTGATGCACGGGATACAAAAATATGAAATTAAGGGATTTGAATTATTGTTCTTTCTTCTGCTTTCTAAATTTTGTGTACAAAAACTGTATGTGACTGTACATGTACATACATGTACGTATATGTACTGTAGGCCTATATTTACCAAACATCTACAGGTATCTTTGGCATAATGATACATGGAGAGCCTACACGCACCATGCCACTGTGATCTTGGACTGGTCCCCGTCCCTATTGATTTATTCATAAGCTGTTAGACTTTAGAGTTAATACAGTGGAACGCCGCTATACCGAACACCGCTACAGTCGAACTCACATAAGAAGAGCACTGTTTATATAAAGTCACGTTTCTAACAACGATAGTTTGAGGTCCCAAGTCTTTGTTTTTCTTTCTTTTCATGACTGATACTACAAGGTAACTAATATAGCAAGGAACTTGTTATAACAGTGTTCCACTGTATACCAAACATTTAGCCGGAACCTGGGCATGTTCATTATTGTGCCGTTCCACTGTACATACATTGTACATGTATAAAGTAAGTGTACAGGTACATGTATTGTTAGCTTCTACAGGGAATATACAAAGCAACAAATCGTCATGTCAGTGCAGCATGGTCGACAAAATATGGGCTGAATGGACTGTTTAATTAATCATTCATCGGCAAAGAGATGTATTTAAGCATTTTTCACTTTCTGTATCGCATCGTGCTAAAACTGTTAATGTTTTGTAGCTACATGTATTGCACAAAAGCCAATTTTCCAGCAAAAAATATATTTTAGTTGCATTACAAAATTTTAATGCCGATGTACATGTATGAATTGATCACATTTACATGTACATTTCAGTGTTCCTACATCCAGGTAACTACGTGAAAATTGAATTAAGTTAGATACAGAGCAAAGTTCAAGTAAATGTGTTGTAAAAAGTGATAAAAATGGATTCTGGCACATGCAATTTTTATGCCCCAATGAAAAGTGGGAAAAATAGGCCTACATGTACATAATATTTAAGACCTGCCCCAGTCTGTATTGAAAACAAAGTTGCACTCGGCATGTGGCCAAGTGGCTATCACACTGTACATTTGCATGTGTTACCAGTGGTGCAGTTAACACACTGACCAATGTAGGCTGTCAGCAAATGGTTTAATTTCTGGGGGGGGGCTTAGTTTTAGTTTTGCCTCTGTGTGCCACATTGTAACAGTGTAGAAATAAAGTATTTTAAAATTACAGCATTTAAGCAAAACATGTATACAGGGATGTCAGCCTTTGGATACAGCTTGTTTAAAACACTTCCGTTTTCTCATGGAGATAGAGCGTTTTATCCTGATAAAATAAAAAGCATTAAATGTAACAATGATGTCTTAAAGTTTTCATTATTGACATACATGTAAATGAATGTAAAAACCCCAAATTTAACCGAAGAAACATCAGGCACCCTTTCTATTCAACAACTAAAAGCCATGTACTAATTTACAAATATTCAGCAGTTGACATTACCACCGGTTTAAGAGACAACCATAAAATGTAGTTTTTTCTTACTGGTACATGTAGTTGCTTTATAAAACTTCATTGTTTTGATTTCTGTGTGTTATTGAAATACAACAATACCGTACGGGGTCGAAGTTTAGAGCAGGTGCATTACAAAATGGTTTCTCACCAAGCAGACTACATGTACATGTAGCTGTCCTTCTTTACTGTCATTGAGTGTTTATGTGGGTAATGATGTGATCCATGATATTGTCTCTAGTAGACGTCCGGCAGAGCAGGTGATGTAATCAAAAGATTCATGATCTCATCCACATCAGTCTGTGTTGGCTGTGTGTTCCTTGCAGACTCATTCTGCTGTACCGTCTCAAGTATCGTCTGTAAGGCTTCTTTGCATTCTGCATCCCCCAGGACTTGTCTCCTTGTCAGTGTGTCGGACATGTATTGGGTCAGCATGAGGACTAGAAGAGCCAGATCTTGCTTGTCTAGGCTGGAGTTACGAGAGAGCTTGATCAAGTTCTTATGCATCTCGTGGTGATTGCCACTACGGAAGAACAGATAGAAGTCATTGGCTCTGGTATCCATGACGACTTAGTGTGGTGGGATGCCAAGTGCAAACTTGATGGGGAGTTAGAGAAGCGAAGACTGGAGATTGACAAATACTGAGATTTGATGTCTGAGCTCTTGGCTGATTAACGTTTGAAGTCCCAAGTCAATGTATATATCTACCGGTGGAGAGGAGCCAGTTGGGTTAACCTTGTGATGCCTGTCAGCGGCTAAGGTTGCTAGCTCAGATATTGATGAACACCTTCCTGCATACAAGGAAAAGGAAATTTACTTAAACTTCCAAGTTTCACTTTCATTTTTCACTCTGTAAAAAATTAATTTACAACTGGATAGTTGGCAGAATGGAATCAGACTGATGATCTACAGTAACTCCAAAGTGCTGGTATTTTGTTATAGCTGTTCTCAAATGGATTGTAAAAGTAGCAGGTGCCAGCAGGTACATGTACTCCGTTTACCATAAGGATGTGGGATTTGTGTATTAAATGCCCATGTACATGTGTGCAAGTATATGTAGTTCAACCCTACTTGTACATGTATCCATCTTGAAGTAATAAAAGTGCAAATGGATATCTGCTGACATACATGTACATGTACATATGTACATTTACACTGTGTAAGGAAGCGGCATATAACTCATATGCTGGTCATGTTGTACCCATATAAAATAAGCAGACAAATGTATGATAAATGGAAGACAATATCAGTACTACATACATGTACATGTAAAAGGCTTTACAGTTATTTGCCCCATCCCCACTTTGCTCTACCACAACTTCACCCCATCCTCACTTCACCCCGCCGACACTTTGCCCCGTTCCACTTTGCCCCATCGGTGTTTGAGTGTGTAACAAGCTTCTTCATATGTGGAGAGATGGAGTCATAGACATCTCTATGGCATTCATTCACTGTTGACTCCATGCTGAATAGTTGGACTTACATTGGGTTTACATGTATTTCTCATTCTCTTTATTTAAAATTAATACAAAATTCTGCACAATATTTACATTGTTCTGTAATTGTCAGGTCATTTATGGGAAGAATGAGAAAGATGCATCCGTCATTTTTTAGGTTGTTACTGACAGTGTAACCTCTGGGGTGCCCATGCTGAAATAAAGTTAAATTAATGAATGTTTCCTCAAATCTCCTCTTCTTCTCGAGGAATTATTTAATTCTGGTGAAGAGATGATATGACAAACTTAATACTTGCAATAATACATGACTTGGCTGGCTACTCTGTCAACATTTATACTGTAGTTGTTGCATAAGCCTCACTTAAAGCTAAAAGAAAGGAATGAACGATAATCGGTGGGGCGAAGTGGGAATGGGGTGAAGTGACCGACACCCCATACAAGCATGTAAACAGAAGTACATAACATTTATCTGCATACATTTAATTTACCTGTGATGAGATGGATAAAGTTACAATGCATACCTGTAATATATAACTTGCACTTACAGCATGTACATGTACAGAGCTTCCACTATGTGTCTTCACTCCTCAGTGAATTGAGCCTTCACTTAAAATGATAGAAAAGAACCACTTGTACCTGCTATTGTACCTGCTATGAACAACACTGGCCTCGTATAGATGTATGCTGCATACAGCTTATGAGCTTCAAAAGTTTCACTGATCAGTGTTGACCATCAGATAGAGGGGGCTGGGGTACTGTGTGGTGGCTTGGCTTTGTTCAGGACAGGACTTAAAAGGGTGACAAGCTTTTTGTGTCTGTTGTGGTTTGGAAGCCAGGGGGGTCAAAGGGCGTAGTGGCATCCTTCTGGGAAAAATGCAACCTAATGAGTGAGCAGTGTGGACTGAAATGTTCATGTACACCACCTTGTGGTGCATCATTCAATGGAGTGGTCACGGTTGAAAGGGTTTTGACAAGATGGAGGGAGAAGCCTGAGTGAACTCTGGAACTTTAAATGTTGACGATTAATTGTTTGCCTTATCAATCACTCTGCATATGTGGCTGAGTTAAAAAAAAGTGATTAGATTAAGGTAACTTTCTGTGTTACACTAGTCAAAGGCAAGATATAAGGCAAGGCAAAGTTATGGGTTAAGTTTTAAAGTGTGAAAGATTTGTGGTAACATACAAGTACAGTGCATGTAGAAGGAATTTTCTTTTGAATTAGGAAAGGATTGCTCTGAAAAGAAGAGGGTTGAACATTTGGATGGTTGTCATCATGAGTGATTGAAATCAAACTGATGGAAAAGTTGAATTTGTGCCCACTGTTTACACCACATTTGATCCTCCAAGTTTGCAAGTCCTCTTAAAATTCTAGATCCACCCTAGGCTGAATCATGCTGATTACAATTCAGAAGTCATTGGTGTTGATGGATGCAGACTGCCTGTATGCTGCCAAACATAGTCTGCGTTTCTGTTGTACATGTACATGTAGCTGCAATACTACGGTACAGTAGTTTGATTGATGATTGATAAAGCAGGAAACGGTGGCTGAATCACATTTAGCTTGAGAATAACATTCAGTCAATACAGAGGTTAGAAAAGAAGGGTTCATGTACATGTACTGTACGTCCCTAACCCTACACATGTACATGTTCAGGTACTGTACATGCACATGTATGCATTGGCATAGAATGTCATGACATGCATCTGTAGGCTTGCTTGTGACGTCTCACGTAAAAGCAGAAATGATTGAATATTACACGTACATGCTGTATTTGTATTTACATGTACATGGAAAAGGTTAACTGTAGAGTTATAACATTTAGGATATCATTGTACTTGGATGAAGCAGAGAAATACCAGTACATTCTCTAAACATCCATTATGTATGAAAATATCAAGAAGTTAATTATAGAGAATTACATTGTGTCTATGATTTGGTTTCCTTTCTTGGATAAATCGAGGTCCTGTAGTTATTGTCCATGTACCGTACAGGGTAAACATGAAGATAAAAAAGAGGTTTAAACAGGTTTCCCAGGGCCATGTAAAATCCTACAAAATCTTGGGAAAAAAAGGTGTCATGAAAAGTCATGGAAATCAAGATCATACAAGGGTTACGGTATTTTTCAAGGGTCACTTTTGATGTAACTGTACTGGTACGTTTACAGTCAGCCCCTAGTGGCTGTGGCAGTCTTACATGTATAATTCATAATTCTAAACAACTTTCCTCCACAAAATGGCATTAAATGTAATGGAAATCATCATCTTTTAGTCCTAGAAAGTCCTTGCAAAGCCCTAGAATTTGGTTGTTTGCTTTCTCTGGGAACCCTGTCAAAATACAGTAATGTAGATGTAATGTACGTGTATAGCGGTACATGTACTGAAGATGTACATGTAAACAAGTGAAAGGCACAAAAGTATTAAAAAGAAACTAACCCCCCTAAAGAAAATAACTTAATTTAAAGCAACAAATATATTGGTTCCTGCAGCTTTTATAATGTGCCATTAACCCCAGATTTCAGTCTCTGACAAATTTGGAGAGATATTGATCATGCATGCTGTACTCACTGTTAGATCTGGAAAGATGTGAGTTCTAAAGCTGACTTGTTGACAAAAAATGTCGGATGGAGATGGTGGTAGATACAGAGACTGTGATTCACCAATAACACTGAAGAATGGGTACTGGTAGTGCAGTAGATCTATATTTATACTGATAATTCTTTCCTCTGCTAAAAGATTTCTTTTTACTGTAAAATTCCCCGTGAGAAATGCGGAAGAGTGGTGGTGAATCATGATTGTGTCATTGACATTGCACACTTTATTTAATCAGCAGAAATTGAGACGTGACCTTGTTGTTAATGTATGATGTACATGTCTGTACAAAGGTCAGAGGATTGCATGCTTGTATGTATCTTGGGACTTTCCCCAGGAATAAAATATGGCGCCATTGATGTAGGGCCTACATTATAACAGCGTCACAGTTGATTTTTCTCAGGTCAACTGATTTCCCATTTTTTTTTCTTCCAAATTAGAATGGGAAAGGAAAGTGAGGAAGTATTTGTGATATTTTAAAGTGTCAGTATAATTGAAGTGCTCTCCTGATAGGGCCATTGTATCTGGTGATAATTTAATGTGACTGAAATGACTCATATTGTGTACCATTGCCTGGCCTTTGTCTTGGAGACAATTTAAAACAACAGTTTGCTGGTCCAATGTATTCACTGTCTGGAAGAAATCAGTGACCCACACAATTTCTGTGAGCATCTAATCTATGAAGAAATAATTAGGGAGAAAATACAAGATTTTATCCATCCTGCTAATCACTGAAATTGAATTCATAGCTATCACCAATGCTCATGCTGGCTCAACAAAGCTTATACATGTACATGTATGTTTGTTTAAAATAAGATCAGGTTTTTTCCCATGCTTAATACATGCATTATATGAAAAGGATACTTAAGTTACAAAAGTTTCTTATTTCAGTGTGAGAAATACAGAGAAAGCAAGAGGGTAGTTGGGTTGAAATTTAAATTTTTGAATGATTTCTCACAGGCACCTTGCACTTGAGAATCATTGAGAAAGAAAATAAACTGATACCTGGTACAATGTGCACCTCAGGTGATGTCTCACGCTCAGATATTGGTCAATAAAATGCAAATGATGAGGTTATTTCCAGATTCACTGATGAGAAATCTGATGAAATGTTGAATTGTGCCATTGCTAGCAGGGACACTGATCCTGCTGGTCTGACTAATCCTTGTATGTAAGCATGAATGACACGTACACGTGTAGCATGTACAGTACCTGTGCATGCACCATGCAGTGTGCAAATCTCAAAAAGGAATTTTTGGCTGAGCCATGCTAAGGTTCATTCATTGCAAATATTCACCACAATTGAAGTTCGGGTGCATTATTACTTTGCTTATCCTGAAAATGCTATCGAGTCTTTTTCTACTGCTAGGGAGAGAGATGGTAATGTTGATATGTATGTGTACACATGTACAGTACCTCTAAACTTTCGTTTCATTTCACCCAATAGTTGTGTACCGGTATATACAAAGAATCATACATGGGTCTTTCAGACAACACTGAAAGAAGTGGAAATTCCCTTGCATATGATGTTCTGATGTATACATTACCTGTATCTTCCATTGTAGGGCTTCCCTTACATGTACATATATCTACTTTAACCACTTAATGTTGGATTTTCTTGCCTGAAAAAGCTGCTGGGGGCGCTTTTGTTTGCACTTTGAACCAACCAAACATGACCTGTTAATACTGGTACATCAACCGCGGAAAAGGAAAAAATTCTTAAACGAGTGAACACGTCCTCCGTGGAACAAATAAGGAAAATTATTTGTGTTTACACGTCATCCAGCGTGAAGTGGTTAATGGCTGTTTGTTAGTGACACCATAACGTGACCCTTCATTATTGGAACGTTGGAGTCAGGTTGAGGTGTCTGATGTGACAAATTACTCTAGATGCTTCAGTGGTATACAATTCACATTTAACAGTATTTGTTATGTCATTGCACAAAGCTAGTCATTAAACTGAACAGGCCTACTGGGCACAATGTGGTTTGTGAAACACTGACAAGCTGACAAATGGAACTTAAGCCTGTGCATAAAGTTGATAGTGAAGAAATACTGTAATCAAGTAACAATCAGTGATTTCAATTAGGGCCATTTTACCTCAACTTGCAGCCTTGGGTTGGACCAGCTGATCACAGTGCTCGCTGTAGCTTTAGCCAAGTGAATTCCAGACATGTACAGTTGGTTTTTAAAGGCCAATACAATAATGTTTTGTGTACGTGACATTCACAGAGACCTTGTGATTGGTTTTCTGTCTGTGTGGGTGACCTTTAACCTTTGATCTTGACAGACTTGAGCATGTTGATATAGTATTTGCATACTGGTTGCTAGGCACCCAATTTGGAGCAGTGTATAGGTGCATATTGCCAAGATTTTTTATTGATTTCTTGTGTTTGCTTCATCTATTGTCTGGAATTGGAGAGGAAACTAGTCCTCAAAGCATTGACTGACCTTTCTGTTTTCATTACTTAAACTTTTTATGTCGTGTCAGTGATGTAAAACAGGCCTGTCTAATTGAAGTTTGATTTTTCAAATTGTGCATAACAGAAGTATTGATAAAACATGTATTTGTCCTTCCATTTCCGTATTATCGACACATGTAAATGCAGGTTTGGTAATTTTTTTCTTTCCTGTGATTTGTGATAGGTTGCCTTTGTATGCATTGAGCATATCGCATAATACAAGGACTGTGTCAGTGTGTAGCAGTTGGGACCATTTCCTGATGTGTTCTATTTTTCTGAATTGTAATGAATGTGGGATCTCATTGAATTAAGGACCTTAAATCTTGTGTGTCGTTTTTTCTCTGTTTCCTTCATTATATAATCTCACAAGCTGTATATTTTTTGTTAATCTTGAACCATAGGAGAATTAAAAATGGTGGTCAGCCATGATTATTTTCAAATGGGGAATATAAAAGCAGAGAAGTGTGTTTACAAAGTTACATTATTAAGTGTGAAGTTCTGTGTGGCAGAATTAAAAAGTGACCCTTTTTTGTCTGCCTCACTTGTTTTAGACGTCTGGACAAAAACGACCAGAAGCTCTACAGGAAGCAAGGAGAAGAGTTCATGACCTGATTGATGAAGCTTTCTCATTGGTTGGTTTGCCAAAGAATGCTGTCTCCCCAGCTTTACTCTTTGCAACCAGTAACACACCCATAGCAACAAAACAAGAGGAACAAACAAGCAAAACCAAAGATAATCAGGTATCGGTTAGAAAATTGTATTTTGGGGGTTTGATTGAAATTGTTGAAGTGAAAGGTGCGCAGTAAAAGATAACAGATAGGTTATGTAGGTTTTTATGTGCACAGAGGGATGTTTTTAATTTGTGTGCAAAACCAAATTTTTGGGGTCATGGATTGTTGGTTACAAAAACCACAGTATGATAGAGTGGATAACTCATGACATTTATTGCAATATATTGACGCCGTTTTTTTTACAGAGTTTATTTCAGAGGAAAATATCGGACTCTATGAACAGTTCAGCTGCTGATGTGTGAGTAGAATGGATATGTTTTGTCCACTGAGAATATGCAGAGATCCGCAGACACTAGACCTAGCCGTTGGTCTGGAAGCCTGTTTTAGACATGGCCTTAGTTGATATAAAGAGCTGTGTGCATGTATCAAGCCTGTTAAATGCAACCAAGCAATGATTGTAGTTCATAGGACTTGGATGAAATTGTATTTTCCTGATGTGTGGCAAACTGGCTTTGCAGGGCTTAATAAATTGTTCCTTTTTTGATTGGAAAAAAGTATGGTGAAAAAATGGGACATCCAAAATGTAAATAGAAACGAGACACATAAACCAACTGGCAAATTTATTCATAAAAAACATTTCAATCTTTCTTATATTTTATCATTTTAGCAAAGAGAAAGAGTTAGATCCTTCCTTGGGAGAAGTTGGTAATAAGATGCTTAGGGGGAGAGATTTTGAAGAGAAAACGACAGGTGTTGTGATTGTACCTGTAACACACCAACCAGACAGAGCAGCTGGTATTGTCTGGAATCCGTACAGTACAGAGGATGACTTCATACAGCTTCAAAAATCTCAACAGCTGGTAAGGGGAAAGGAGGAATATAAACAATGTGGTTCTAGTTTTGGAGGCTGACAGAATGTTTCAAACATCTTGCAGTACACATAATTATAATAAGTAGGCTGAGCTGATATCTTTTACCTGAGTTTTCATGCCAACTTTACAAGTGAGTCACTTGTGACAGTCACACTCATAGGCAAGGGAAGATTTATCAAAGGCTTATTCTTTGTGTGTTTACATTTTGCTGTAAAGGGGAACACGATGCGGGTGGAGGGGGAAGTATTAGTCTTATTCTGTCCTTTTGTCTGATCAGATGTCGGTTCCTGGAGGTGTAGAGGATACGCATCATCCACACCAACCTACTAGTCATCTCTCCATGCCTCATCCTGTCAGTGTTCCTGAGACCTCGCCAGAAACATGGGGTAAAGGTATAACATCATCTGGACAAAGCCAAAGAAAGCTGTCAGACAGCAAAGAGAGAAAGCCGTCAACTGGCTTGAGAAGGCTTTCAACTGATTCAAACATTTCAAAGCAACAGAGCACAGATCCTGATGAGCCCTATTTGGATACATGTGTCAAGAGTAACTTGAACAATGAACTACGTGGAACATTTACTTTGTCACCGCACTCAGATGATCCTGCAGTGACTGAGAAAGGCCCTTTTACATTGGCACTTCACCGATCTTCAAACGAAGAACGTAATTCTCCTGAACCAGATTATGGAAAAGGTAACTTGTTGTCAACATTGTCTAAGGAGCGTGGTGTAGGGAAGCCAATAGCAGATGGTTATGATGAGTTTGATGTAACCAGAGATGTTGTAAGCAGAGATAAATCAGGTCAGCTGGTAGCAGCAATCCGGGATGAGTTAGTTAGACTTGCAAAGAAAAGTGGACAACATGAAAGCAGTTCCTGATCTTGTTAAATCTATCTCATCTGAAATAACCAACCTGCTTAGTCGTACCTAGTTATTATCTTTCATTGATAAATACCTCAGACAGTCTCCCTATTCAGTGTGCAACATGATCATGTATTAACATTTGATAATGCCCGCTGAGAAGTGATAATGCCCACTACATAAAACATTGGCTAGCACCTGGATTCGAGACAGTTTACACCATCCCTATTGGTCAAGAGTCTGTGTGTGACGCAGGATGCAGAATGCACCACGTGCACGCCAAACAATACATCAGGAGATTCGATTGGACAATATGTAAAAGGAATATATCATAAAATGAATAAGAGTTTTCAAGAAAAATGAAAGTGAAATTATAGAACAAAATTGTTTGAAATCCATCATATATGAACTTCTGTTGACTCTCTAAATAAAAAGGTATTTATGAATGGAAATAAATGTGTGCTTGGCCGGTCTTAAACTAACCCTTAAGACCTTGCTCAGGAAAACGAACACTGACAATGCCCTTGCCGTAATTGCATCCATTCTCCTGAGCCGTCGTTTAAGACCCGCCAGCACATAATTATTCCCTTATTTAAATCCATTGCTATTCAGCGATCAACTGAAATTTTCAAATTAGACAAAATAGTTTGATGGAACTGTTTAGAGCAGATTGTTGAGTGAAGGTGAAGAAACTGTTTTCAGACTTAAAAATTCCTGAGAAAACCATTCAGGAAAGCCATTTGGTGGGTCAGAACTTGACTCCTGGTCACAAAAGTGTTAATCTAAGTACCTACAGGGGTAACTTGAGGGCGATGTTAGGTTTAAATCAGTCCAAGGATACCTGCCAATGGCTGGATGTCAGTGAATAATCATATGAATACATGTACACTGCAATTGAAGGCTTGTTGCAGTGTTGTAGTTGAGACCACTTAACCCCTTGACGACAGGAATTTCTTCCCGAAAGCCAACTCCAAGAATTCCAGCCTCGCTTGGCCACAAAGGCTACCTGCCAAACAGCAGATTCTTGGTTTGTGGCCCTGCGTGCTCTGCACGCTTTGAATTACACGGTGAAAAGGCTGACTGCTCGGTGGCATGCGGCTCTA